TGTTAATATTTTATTCTCATTTTTTATTTTCCATTCTTTGAGCTCCTGTCTCGTGTGTCGGCTTCCTCTGAGCCGTGGATTTAGAGTCTAACAAGGGCGGATTTAAAAATGAGTTAACAAAGAGAATTAAGATTTCTAAAGCGCGAGCTAGCAAAAAAATAGTATTAGCCTTTTTAATAGAGGTGAAGTGGGGAGAGTGGCTGCAGTGGACTGTGAGGCTTCAAAGTGCTGCAGAGGTTAATTGTGTCCAGGTGTCCTCCTCACCTGTGGGCGAGCCGAGTCTTTTATTAAAACCGATGATCTCACACTGAAGACAATCTAATCTCCTTCTTTACCCCGTGGACATCTTTCCTCTCTCCTCATCTCTGCTTCTCTCGATTTCTCTGCTGTTGTTTGTCTCACCACATCTGCTGTTCATAAATTATACTTATACGGTGACTTATATTATTTATTTTTGTTTTTGTTCTTTGAATCCGAAACCCAGCGGAGCTCTCTTTGTTTTTATTCTCCAGAAGCTCTGGCTCATTTCCCCTCCGCTCATCTTAAAGCATCACCTTCTCTTCCACACTCTTCCCCCTTCTGTTATTAAACTCTATGATACACATATATATATTTTATGTATGATGACAGTATTTTCCAACAAAATCCAATTGGAGCAAACTGAAAAGGATGATGTCGTCTGGTTGTGGCAACATAATAAAAGAAAATCTTGACAAATTCAAGTGGCTCCTCACATTCTATTGGTTAGAAAGAAGCCAAATCTCCTCTCAGTAAACTGAACATATTATATCAGCCGAGCCTTATGATACAGTTAAGAAACACTCGTCTGTTAGTTGATCTGCATGCTGTGAATGCTCTGAGTGGCTCTGTGAAGGGAAATGTTTGTATTTTACATATGATTGAACACAGAGCTCATTTCGCTCCAGGTAACCAGAGCTATTGTTGTATTGTGCGTAGGAGAAATCTTTAAAGGTTGAGCTCTCGCTCTGCTGTGTGTCTGCTGGGCCAGTTTGCATTCTGAGCATGTAGAGTCTGGCCCGACTCCATTCGCAAAACTTCCACTTTCTAAAAAAAAAAAACAGAAAGAAATTCTTATACGTGTCAGTCAGAGCAGCACTGTGGGCCTTAACAAATCAATTTCAGCCCAGCCTGATGAAAAAGGCAGCAAGTCTCTAAACTGTCACAGTGTCACACAGTTGGAATGAACCACCTCCAGCTGCACTCCCTTTTTTACTCCAACCTCTTTGTAAATGCAAACGCGGTCTCATAAAGTATTTATGTGATCCAGAAACACAATCTTGTTTTGACAGAGGCTCCACGCAGGTCTGGAATATTAAGTTTGATCCACCTGCGCTGGAACAACGAGGCTTAAAGGTAAACTGCAGGGTAGACAGTCAAACACACAGCTGACAGAGTCAGAGTGATGACACAAGAAGAGCTGTACAGACAAAACGCCAAAGCAGAAACAAGACTTCAGACCAGAACAACAGGAACCAACAAAAAAAATCAGAAAGACTACTACGAAGAATATTTTGGTCAATATTGAGATTACAGAACAATTGTTGATCTAAAACCGAAATATAAATACATAAATACTAGGAGTGCAAGATACACAAAATTCACG